CATAGCAAGAGAGGTTCAAATGAAGTGCTCTGTTAGGATGCTGGTGAAAGAAGTTTTGACAGAGGAGATCAAGTATAGGCTTCTTGGGAGAAATGGTATTTGAGCCAGTCGTTAAAGGTCGGGTAAGAATTGGGTAGACTGAACTGAGAAGCTTATTCCTGAACATCTGTTTTAGTGAGTTATGCTGTTCCTAATCTGAGAATTCTTTATCATTCCTTACTCCACCAAGAGTCTCCTGGACTCCCAGCAGTCTCCAGACTTTCAGGCCAAATTCCATTTATTATTGGCCCTCCAGGGAGTGACTTCTGCACAACGTCACTGTGCCACCTTGTGGTGGTACCCTGCTCCTCCCCTTATCCTTCTCTACATCTACAGAAAAGTTTCCTAGAGATGGAAAACACAAAGTTGGCAGGCTGGTCTTCCATTTGTATATGCTAATATAATATACGTAGGCAGAAATTCTAGTGCCACACCTAAGATCTTCTTTGCTTAATTACTTGATAAATCCTGACTTGAATACTTTGTGTGACCTTGAACAAGTCATTTCATTTCTTTGGTCTCTGTAAAACAGAGCTATGAGGTTGATGCACTACCAGTTTCACAAGGTGGTTATGAGCAGAGTGCTATGGAAACACGATCATCACCATTGCTAACGTCTTCCATGTTCCCTGTTCCCCTGCCATATCTTTACCACGCTGCTCACCCCAGACTTGACTCAGAGTCATGGCATCTTTGGAAGCCAGTGGGCAAAGCAGAGTCAAAGAGAGCCAGCATTTAGTAAGTGCCCACTCTGCAGTGTAGTAGAAAGGTCACTAGACTTGAAGCCAGGACATCTGGGTGCTCATGCTGTCCTTTGGGAACGTCCCATCCCCTCTCTGAGCCTTAGCTTCCTCATCTGTGATGAGCTCTGAGGTCCCTTCCAGCTCTGAATTCTTGCAGAGGTAAGGTGCTGGTGCCAGACATCTGAATCATAAAGTTAGAGCAAGAGGAGACCTGAGAGGACATGTGGTTGGGCCCCTTCGTTTCACACTTGAGGAATCTGAGGCCTAGAGAGATTATGCCTGTGGCCCCAGAGATTTATTACATTGTGTCATATTAATAAGGGGAAAAACAAGGGAATATAGACAAGAGCACAGGACCTGGGTTCAAAGTCTGCCTCTGCTACATACTACCCATATGACCATGGACAAGTATTCATCACCTCTGAATGCCTCTAGATGCCTGATGTAAACTAAGGAATTGACCTAGGTGATCAGCAGGGTCCCCCTGCAATTCTAAATGTATAATCCTGTGGTTCCTCTCAAGGAACTTTCTGTCAGAGTTCAGTCAGAAGATGACTAGAGTATATATTAAGAACAAATGAAGGAAACAAGGGGTCACTATGAACCCATGAAAACGCAGTCTACCTGAAATTTGCGAGTCTTCCTTGCTGTAGAGTAAAACAAGTATAAAGATAGAAGAAAAAAATAATAAAGAGGAAAAGATAGGATTTGCAAGGGAAACAACTCAATCCTGACCTATTTAAACAATTTATTAATAATGAAAAAATGGGCAGAGCACAGCAAAATGACACTAAAACCAATTGAAATAATTTTGTACAAAAGTTTAATCAGTGTAGGTATAACTGTTTTAACAAGGTGACCAAAAGAGCCCAAAAAGCCACTATCAGCAAACACTTGGCATCCTTGACAAACCAGAGAGGGGGCCACCAAAAGCAACAGCAGTTTAGAATATTAAATTATTTGTAAAATTTTATGAAGAAAGATAATGGAAGATTATGAGCAATATTGCTTCATAAAGCACAGAGAAGTAGCAGGTAAAGCTAATTTAAATGAAGTTTAGCAAGAGATACAACTAGGTAGTCATCTCTAGTGCATTTAAGGAGGAAAATGGAAGGAGGTCCACAAACAAGAAAGAAGTAGAAAAGATTTGCAAATATTTTTATGACAGCTCATCAAGGATAGTAGAGCTACCATACTTGGACTCTGATATCAGAGTCACAAATGTATTTATAGAAATGGGAAAAACAGGACTAAAGAAGATAAAAATGGGGAAAACATCTGAATTAGATCAAGTGACATAAAGGAGATTTGTGCTGGAGGTGACACAACTGTAAGGACATTGAGGGATCAATTCACAAGGCTTCTGAAGGAGAGAAATAGATTAAAGGTATGGGGGGAAATGCACCTGTGAATACTACAAAAAAGGCCACCAAAAGAATAACAATAGCCACTGTCATAGATACACCTCCTTTCGCAGCTATACAAAAATTTCATGAGCACCATCTACACTAAAGCATCCTCAGTGAGGGTATTAGGGAAAAGAAGACTTTTGCAAACAATGTACCATTTTGCAAATTGATTAAAAGGCTTAGAGAATACAAGATTTTACTGTGCTTATTGGTTGATGATTGCTGAAAAAATATTTGATCAGGTAGAACAGAATGTTATCTTAAAGGTCCTCTTCCAACCAAAGTGTCTCACTTCCATACACGAAGACCATTCAGTATTCCTTGAAAAAAATATAACAAAGGTAACCTTGTTCAGTGATGCTGTCTCTGATCACAAAGATCACAACAGGCATAAGTCAGGGAGACATGTTTCACCGCTGTGATGGAAAAAAATACAGTGTCAAGTCTGAGGTAAAGAGGGATTCTCTATGGAAGATCAGATCCCAGATCTTCGCAGATGGCATTATTCTAGTTGCATCAAGTTTTGGGACATTTCAGAGTCTCCTAGAACAAATCTGTAACCACTCAAAAGAATTTGTCTTTACCATCTACACAGGAAAGACCAAGTGGATAAAAATATCTGTAGCCCAGATTGTGGCATGAAGTTGGATTGACAGCCCGCATGTCCATATAATTATATATCTGTGTGTCTGTATGTGTGAAACTTGATCATATGGAATAGACAATACAAATAGTCAATGAGTTGGACCCAGAATTTACGAGGAGAGTGAACTAGATCGTGAAATTGCCCTGTTCCTTTAATGACCCCAAACTTTTCTCAGAAAAGACACATCTTTTAAAATATTTTACAAGTAGTGTTGTATGACTGTGAGATATGGAATATAGATGTTTTGAAAGAATTAAAAAATGAATGTCACACAGAGCATTTGGTTGAAATGAGCAACCTGCAATGTAACAAGTGAGGATCTTCAAAGAATAAGAAGAGTAAAAGATGTCATAAGGGAAATGTATGATAAAAAAAGAAAATGGGCTTGTCGTGTGCCATGGTGGACAGTTTGAACGCTCTGCTGGCATCCTCGTGATGTCAGAACATGAGAAAGGCTTCCAGCAAGTTAGGTTGGCTGACCCACCTATGAGGAACTCATGAGAGGACATGAACAAGAGCTGTGCATTCTGAGCGAGCATAAATGGGTTGCAATCAGCATTGTTGGAGGGAACATCCAAATTGATGAAATGTAAGATCCATTTGAGTATGGTGCCAGCGTACAAAGAGTTTACTGTCAAAGCTGGATCAAACAACAGCTAGAATGCATTAAGCTGGCAAGGAGTAGAAGGGCATGTCTTTAGTACAGTAGCATACGAAGGGAAGAAGTGAAAGAAGTCTAGAAAGGTAGATACGGGTTAGAGAGTGGAGGTCCTGGAATGCCAGGCTGAGGAATTTGGACTTTATCTAGGGAGGAGGCTCTGGAGGAGAGGAAAGGGGTGGAAAGGGGATTGGAAGTTTTATTGGGACTCATTCCTATGAGAGAGAAAAGAATGTTTGCTTTTTTAGGTCTTAGGACATAAATGTTCATACATCTGGCAATGGGAGAGCTGTGGAGCTAATCCTCTTCCCACTCACATCTGCATTTAGGCTTCCTAGAACATCCATGGGTGTCCTGAGTTGTAGTTGTCTTCATTCAGATCTGCAGAGTTACCAGCAGCCCTAGGTTTTATCAATGAACAAATGTATATTGAGTGTGGGGTAAGTGGAAAATGGAGAGGCCTAGGAGACAGGAATCCTGAGGTTTGATCCTGGCCCGGCTGCCAGCCACAGTTGTGTGACCCAAGCAAGATGCTTTCCCATTGCAGACCCCAGCTTCCTCCTCTGACAAGTGAAGAGGTTGGGCTAGGCGACCCCCCAAGGTCCCTCCCGGTGCCAACAGTCTATGAATTGAAATGAACTTCATTTCCTTTGGCTGAGCCCAGCTTCCCAGGAAAGCAGCCTCCCCAGAGCAGCCCGGATTTGTGTTTCTTGCCTGGATTGGCACCTGTTAATGTTTTAGCCCCTGGAAACTGCATTTTCCCTTCTTGAGGCAGTTTAGACGCCCTTCCTGCCACCAGGCAACTCATTACACAGGCCAGGTTCACACAGGGGGGGATTGTTTAGAGATCCTGGAAATGCAGAAGTTTAATAATAATGGTCCAGTTTGACTCCACGTTGCACACCTGCTTGGCAGTGGTTACCGCTACCTTGATTAGGCTGTGATCTACGCAAATGATGACTCCATGGTGAGGGAAAGGCAGTGTTCCATCACAACTGTGAGGAAAGAAAGGCATTACCAGCATACTAACATATCTGTCATCTCCCCTCTCTTCACCCCTCTGCACCAACCCTTCTCTTTATTTGTTCGTATTTCCTTATCCTCTCCCTACCCCCTGCTCTCCCCCTTTTTCTGCCGTTTTCCTCCCTCTCCTTTTCTCCATCCTCTCTCCACTTGTCCTTCCCCTTGCCTCTTTTCCTTTCTGTTTCTTCACCTGTTCTCCTTCCTCTCTTCCCTATATCTCATCTCTCCTTTCCATTCCTTCCCTCCTCCCCCTTTTCCCTCTTCTCCCTTTTATCTCCTCCTGTCTGCTCCTTGCCCAAACTCTACCTCCTCTCTTTCCCTGTTTTCCCTTCTCCTCCCCTCTTTACCTCTTCATCTTTTGTCCATGTCTTCTCCCATCTCATCTTTCTTCCAACCTTCTCTCCTCACCTACCCTTCCCTCTCCCTTCTCCTCCCCTTTCTTTTCTTGCTTTTCACTCCTCTCTTTTCTGATTTCTCTGCAGGCCTCTAACCCCTCAAGAACCAAGATGCAACTTCTGGAGACGGAGTTCTCCCACACCGTCCGTGAGCTCATCGACCTCCATCTGCTGCAGCAGGACAGCATCCCTGTGTTCCTCAGCTCAGTGACTCTCGACCTCTTCAGCCGCCAGACGATCACCTAAGCCAGCCTGCCGGGTTGGAATCCCAGTGCCTTAAGCAACCCAGAGGCCACAAGAGCTTTAGCCCGCCACCCCCTGCCTCAGCCCCTCCTCTTTGTCCCCCGCTCCAAAGGTTTAAAATATCCCCCATTTTCAAAGTGATTTTAAGAGGATAAGGATAGAGCAAGTGGCCTTGCTTTTTCAGATTCCATTTGTCTCACCCCCCACTGCTGTCCCAAATATCCTTTCCTGTCCGGCTTGACCTAATCCTGTCACCCTCGTTTTTGATATATATACATCACCATCTGTCACTTCCCCAGATATCACTGCAGAGCAGCGCGTGCAGCTATCTCCAGGGCCTCTTCTCTTCCTCCATCCCCTTTCCTGGGTTATTTCCTTGGCCCCAACAGATGGCAATAGCCCCAGAGCTAATTGGTGCCATCTATGAGCTCATTGCTTAGGGAGCAGCCCTTTGGGGCAGTAGAACAAGCACACCATGAAGCCACCACCAGGAAGCTGACCTCTGGGGCCTTTACCTCGTGCTCCTCATTGAGGTCACACCAGAGCCAGGTCTCCTCCTCCCATTTCAATGTGCCTTATAGATGAAGCTTAGGTCTCTCTTGGGTTTTTATGTCTGGCCTTCAAGCCAGATTCTTGGAAGGGAGAGAAGAGAGTTAAGGGGTTGACCAGCTGCAATGGGACCCTGTGGACTTGTCCCCTCTGCCTTTGTGGGCCCCCCTCCCCCACCTCATGCTCCACCTCCTCCATCAGCACACACACCCTCCCCCACCTGCCCCCGACGATTAGGGAAACACGCTGTGATGAAGCATTTGTTTGTCACTGAATATCAATAAAGTTTTCTTCTGCCCCCTACAGCTCCCATCCTGTCCAGGGCCATGTGTGTGTTGGTCTGGGGTTTCTGCTTCACCTGCATCCATAGGCAGTAGTTGAAATGTAGCAGCTGGGGGGAGGCCCAGGGAGAGGGGTGGGGAAGGGAAGGGTAGCCGCTCTAACTAGGTGAAACTCAACGAGGGTAAATGGGGATGAGTGGACTCTGAGTGGCACGTGAAGACAGTCCTACCCAGAAAAGTTTCACTCGGGGCAGGCAGCCCATTCCCCACACTCCAGCCTAACTAAGTTTCCCAGGGGTGGTTGCTCCCAGTGCTTCCCAAGAACGACGAGGTGAGGCACTCATGAAGTAAATCCCATAAAAAAAGTATCCTCCCACCAAGGAGGTAGTGCCCCCTATGTCAGCACCCTCAAGAAAAAGTCCCATCTTTCCCGTGCTAGTTATGACTACGGAGAGCAGTCACGACCATACGATGGCTGTAGCACAGTCCACAGGTTTCTCACTTGCACAGACACGATGCCTTCTGTCATCACACCAAGATGGCTTTTTAATCTAGCTGCTTCCTCATAACCCATATTTCATTGTGACGTGAGGAGAACACATAGCTCCTCTGGCCCCAGCAGAATCTGCAGTGGGGAAGCAGGGGGGATTGCCAGCTCCCACTGGGATCCACCCTCTGCCTAAGCCTGATCCTATCTCTCCCCCCGCCCCCTTCCCTTCCCGGGAGTCATTAAAAACACCAGCCTAGAGAGAACATGTCTTTTTCTCTGAACCCAAGGCTAGGACTTAAGCAAGGATGAAACAGCAGTGTGGAACCACACCCATCCATGTATCCAAATTGGGTTGTTTTTGAATTAGGGATGGCAGCCTCCCCGCAGTAGATCAGAAAAATCCCCATGATGGCAGGCTACTGCTGCTCCCTCCACTACTCCCCAGGGTCTACTCACTGCTGCTCCTTTTCCAAAGCATCCATTCCTTCCATGGGTTATTTTGCAATTTCCTTGTTGCTCCCCAGGGCTAGTCTCACCCTAGAGTTAAAGGCTGTATATCTCATTTTGGTTGTACGACAGAGTCAGGTGGCAGGAGAGGGGTGGACTCCCAGGTGGCTCAGAGCCCTACTGTAAACTAGAGAGGTTTGAATGTAGGGGCAGTTCTGGTTAACCCAAACCCCCCAGCCCTTGGCCAATAAAGAATGGGGTTTCCTAGGAAATTCAGCCAGCATGCAAGGAAAGTTAGCTTTGCCATTTACAGAAGTCCAAGCAAAAGATGGATTACCTGGCATTTGATGCCAGAGGAACATTGCCTGATTCATATGCACAGTGTGGCACTCTGGGCCGCCATCGTCAGTCATGGAGAAAATGAGTCGTAACGTCAGCCACACGATTTCTCCGCCAGCACAGTAACGAGGCAGAGACGGGAGCTCTGTCTCCTAGCTCCTCACAAGAAAGCTCTAGTAATTAATTAATATGTTTACCATAAGCCCACTATCTTACCAGGACAGGGGGAGGGGGGATATACAGCTACTGGGAGCAGACAAGAGATGAATACCAAAACACCTGCTTGTCAGGTGGTCTCTCCAGAGCACTTAGGGAAGAAACAGCCACTGGGAGCACTCCAGATCTGTGGAGGAGCAGTTGACTAAAGGGGAGACAGTTGGAGAAAGAATTAAATCATGGCTGTGTGGATGTTCAGAGAGTTTGGAATGCCTAAGCTGACTAGGCTCCATCTTTTCTCATAGATGCTCACTGAACAGCTCTTTGCAGGGTATGATGGGCCTTTTGCTCCTGCCACTTGGGGCAGCTAGCATGGCATCCTGCCTGAGTATCATGTAGATCTATACTTGGAATCCTGGACTCAGACTTCAAGCCACTTCAACCCTATTAGGAAATTGAGTAGATGTCTTCTTCTTTTGTCCAACTTAAGCCTCTTACTGCACTCACCATCTTTCTCCTCTTCTCAGTTGAGATGGAGAACCATTGGCTACCACTCTCCAAACAGCAGTTGTGAAAGCAGCATTCTTTCCTAAGTACTATTTAAGGCCCCACAGCTATTCATATTGTATTTGCCTCTCTGGTAAACTCCTTGTTGCTTGATGGGACAAGTTGAGTGGAAGATGAGCACTGAAGAGGGCAATCTGAATTCACAAGGCAAGGCTGCTTTTTCCAGTCTTCAACTCACTGGTTAGGTGACCTCCATTTCTAGGATTCGGATGCTATGGAGAAAATCCCAGGTGCATAATCCATCATTTCATATTTCTGTTGTTAAAGCTTCCCTCCACTAGCTTGGATAATGGAGAGTTGCTGGTAGATAAAGAAGCAGGCCCAGGGGACTCACAGTTGACAGGATATAATGGACAAGTATAATAGAAGCATTGTGATGGGCTGGATGGGATGGTCAAGATACTTCACAAGCCTCTAATTCTGACGTTGCTCAATTTTGACAGCATATGCAATTTATTTTTTTTTAATCATGATTAGTATGTAACTAGTATTTATGGAAACTGCCACAATCAGTGCAACCCCGTATCTCCCATTATTTATGTACCATATGCCATTGAAATGTGTTGAAACCGACCAAAGACATGCCTATTTGAAAATATGCTAGCCACCATTTTGTTTCAGGAGAACAGACTGAAACCTCTCCAGCTGAGGAAATGTCTTGATACCCTTTTAGTAGAGGGCTAGATTTTTATCAAAATCAGTCAGTTCCTTGGAAAATTATTGTGGAAAGATCCATAGGCACACCAATGAATACAAGAGCTAAAGAGTCAGCTTGAAGCAGGAACCTTCCTTCTGTCTGTTGGTAATTGTTAGCAATGATAAATCTGCTGAATTCTCAACAGATGTGCAGATTCAAAACAGCTGTGCAAAGTCGTCAAGATAAAACACACCTACTACACTCTGCTCCAGAAATTAATTTGACTATGTAGCCAGCAAAGATATTTGTAGTCATTAGAAGAATTTTTCTTACTCTTAAGGCAAGTATTCAATTCATTCAGCAAGCATTTATTAAGTACCTACTATGTTCTAGGCACATTTTCAGGTAGTGGTAATACAAAGACCCCACCACCACCACCAAAATAGCCCCTACTGTCAAGGAGCTTACATTCTAGTGGGGAAAAGCAACATGTACGTGATACAAAATATATTCAGAATACAAAGTGATGCTACTTGTTTTTACCTAAACATGACAGTCAGTCTCCTCCTCTGTGTTTTTTTGCACAGACCTGGAATGCTTTCCCTCTCCTCTTATGATAAGATCATAGACATAAAGCTAGCTTGAAGGAAACGTAGACAACATAATGTCCAACCTTTTAATGTTTTACAGGTAAGGAAAATGAGTCATAGAGTAAAGTGACTTCCAGGGTCAAATATCCTAGTATTTGAATTTAGGTCGCCCTGATTCCAAGTTCAGCACACTATACCTAGCTTCAGAAGCCTCCCTTTCCTGATCTCCCTAGTTATTACTGCATGCGCACATACACAGAAATAATTATTTTTTATTACATTTACTTACCTGAAAACATATTGTCTCCTTTCTCTCATCCCCCAGTAGAATGTAAGCGCTTTGAAGGCAGCGGAAGTTTTCATCTGTCTTTGTCTCCCCAGTGCCTGAATGAATGAATGAATGAATGAGAATGAATGAAAGCTAATAAGGTTCCCACTCTCAGAGAGGCCATTTGGACATTTATTCAGGTGTTCTCAGCAAATTTTGCACTGTCCAGGGTGAAAAGGTAGCAACAGCTATCTAAAAGCTATGCTTAGCATCATGATACTGGGGGCAGGTGCAGATGGCCCACTCTTCTAGGGTCAGCTGCCACTTGAAAGCTAGACTGCTTGACTATTTCTCAGCAGTTCCCAAGTCCCTAAGAGGATCTAGACTAGCAGCTCACTCGGAGCCATCTGTTATATTACCTTTCTCTGTGTGACTGAAAGCAGATAATGGACCATCATCCATCCAGTACTTTGAGTCCTAAATTTCAATGATCTCAGGATCACAGACTTGGAGGTGGAAGGAACCTTAATACTCATTTAGTCCAACCCCCCTTTTGACTCTGAGGAAATAGGCCCATAGTGGTTAATTGATTTGTTCAAGGTCTTTGCGGGAGTAAATGGCAGAGCCAAGCTTCCACTATGCCGTCTTTGCATGTAAGGGACCCAAATCAGCCTGTCCATGTGCCCTGATGCCAATGCACAGGGGAAAATATCCACCCTACTCTAGGCAGACTCTCAGACCTTAACCCACCCAGAGATTTATCTCTTGAGAAAAGAGAGCTCCCACTTTATTTTTGTAATTTTAAAATTTATTTTAAACTTAAAATACAAAACAAGAAAAGAAAAAAATTGCCATATACACAGCAGAGTGTAAGAGAGGATTCAATAAAGAACAGTAAATGTCCATTTCAAGAAAATCTATGTAATAAATACTACACACTGTTTTCAAAGCTGCCGAGCTTGTCTTTGCTTCTTTGTAGGTTTTCTTTTGTTCTTTGCTGTGCACTTTTATTTAAATATTTTCATTTATCTAAATTAATTAATAAATTTTATTTAATTAAATATGTAAATTTATTATTTACTTAATTTTTCCCCTCTCTCACCCATCTATAAACGTATACTTATATGCACATACACACTCGTACACATATATGTAAGACCATACTGCACCTATTTCCACCTTTCATATGTCTGAAGGAAGCATCTTCCTTCATATGTCCAAGTCTTTCCATGTTTTTCTAAATCAAATAGTTCATCATTTTCTACACCACAGTAATATTCCAACTCAATCACATCCTGTCTGAGAGATTGTCTGTGAAAGTTTTTTTCCACAATTTTCTGCATTCCTTCTATTCTTGGCTATATAGGTTTTATTAATATAAGAAAATAATATTTTAAAATAATCAACATTATCCATTTTATGCTTCAACAATGCTATCACTTTATGATGTAATTTAACATCTGATACTGCTGAACCCTTTACATCTTTTTTCCCTGTTTTTTTAAGTTCCTGACCTTTCGTTCTTCCAAA